GAGAGAGAGAGAGAGAGAGAGAGAGAGAGAGAGAGAGAGAGAGAGAGAGAGAGAGAGATGCCACAGCAGCCATCATTCATTGAAAAGGATCTGTTGTTTCTTGGGTCAATCTCATCTGCAGGGTTTGTTGCGTACCTGCGAATGTGGTGTAAGACGTCCTGGCGTGTGCGTGGGTTTCAGTGCCGGCAATTTGTCCAAACTGCCTGTTCTTGGCGTCACAAGGCTGTCAATCTTCTCCCTGGTATGTTCCAAAAGATAGAAACGTGTCCGTTAACGTCCGAACTACTCAGAAGCCAATGCGGGGGTGTGAGTGATGTGCCTGAGAGACACAGAAGTTGTATGAGCAGGGTGATAAACAGGGGGGATAGAGACATTACCACTTACAGACAGAGATGGGCAATTGGAGGATGGCAGAGGTTGAGAAGCATAGGTAGCAGTGTCCTTTAAAACATCAATTATAGAGAGAAGATTAGCATCACCGCAGCGCAAGGATGACACGCATAAGTCGAGAAATGGTCCAAATCTTTGGAAACCAAAAAGCAAAAAAAAAAAAAGCATAGGTAGTGAAATGAGGCTTCGTATGGGCAGATGCAGTCTTGCAGATATAACACGGCTGAGGGTGGCGATCCAATGATCTGAGTGTAGGGGAGGTAAAACTTCTCCATAAAAGAATAAGCTGAATAAAGAACTGCCCCAACCTAGCTCATGATCAGCCCACCTGCTTTCCCTTGGACTCAACGTCTTTCAAAGAACTGGAAGCCTCAAGTGTTCATCCTCACAAGGGTTTTAGCATCATGGTGAATGAGGTGTTCGGGTCAGTGAGGGGGCTGCTATAGATCTATAAGCCATGACCGGGAGAAGCTTGTATGGTTTCCATAATATTTCTGACTTGCCTGTGGAAAAGAAGCTGCCTCTTTTCACAATAGGTGGTCTAGTAGCCTATGCAGAACTCTCTCTCTCTCTCTCTCTCTCTCTCTCTCTCTCTCTCTCTCTCTCTCTCTCTCTCTCTCTCTCTCCCCCCACTGGGCGCGACCTTGAGATCACCATCTTGCCCTGAACACAATGCACCCTCATGATGACTGTGTTCGAGCGGAAAGACAGCTTGTATGTATATTCATGATGAGGGTGTGCCGTACTTGGCGGAAGATGGCAGGTCGTTGTGTGAGTACCCTCTCAGGCAATCTCTCTACAGGATGCACTCTGGATTCTCAAGACGTGGGCTCGCTATTCACATCCAATATGGAAAAAACATCAGTCATCTCCTTTCACGCCGAGCTTGAGTCTTCACAGCGAGTGCTTCACTACGAGTGTCTTCCATGTGGGCCGCAGCGGCGTAGAATTAGTTTTGCCTGTCTTGTTTCGGACTTCTCTGGCATCTCATCTGCATACATGTATACTAGTTTTTTCTTTCTTTCAAAAAGAGCGACAGCCTTGAGGTATCATCATCATCGTGAAACTGACCGGCCCCAGGTAATTCAGGAATTATGTTCATCTGGTTGATTCCGTCTGGGTTCAAAGTCTGCATTTCAAAAGATTATGGGTACACCAACTGAATAAGCAAAATTGGTGGACGAACCACCAGGGTGAACTGTAGGCACAAAAGGAAAAAGAGGACACAAAAGACAGGCGGAAGCTTGGACAGATGGTTTCGTCAGACTTTCACGTACTCCTAAATGTTTTCCAGGGAGTCTTCGTCCCTTGTTCTTTTTTTTTGTTTTTTTTTTCCGAAGCTAGTCCACCCGTTCGGAGGGGTGGTGATAAGGGCATCCCGCCCCCCCTAGCGGGGTTTCTGGTTGCTCCAGTCTATTGGTGAGGCTTTGGATCTATGTTTTCTCCCATAAGTTCCCCCATAACTATCCACCATCATATGTGATATGGTGAGGCCGGGTCCTTTTTCCTTTTTTTTTTTTTTTTTTTTTAAGAGGGCGGTAGACTTGAGATGTATCGACAGGTGACCGGCGACCGGCCTCAGGTAATTGGAGATTATCATGGACGGTTTTTTCTTTTTCTTTTTTTTCTTCTTTTTTTTGGTGTAACAGCCCCGGAGACAGCTTGAGGTGCTGGTAGGAGCAGCCACATCAAGCTGGCCTTGGGGAGGCTCCATCTATTGGTGGGGAGCTGCACCTTCTGGGAACCGGGCCCAGCGTCCCATTTACAAAAATTACTGATGTTATACAAAGTCCCATTGGTAGCATGAGAGGGGCTCGCCTCTTCGGCCCACGAACATTATATGTCATGATCATGACTTATTGAACTTCCTTATTGAGCTTATGTCATGACACCTTAGGTATGTTGAGAGTTTTTAAGCCTCTGGAAGTATTGTGAAATTGAGGGTCTCAAGACTCTCAACCCTGATAGGCATCCTAATCGAGGCATGAATGATACTGACTGAGAACTCAACCTGAGCGCTCGTTTTAGTGGAATGTGTATTGGGTGTGTCCGGACTGGCCGCAGCTGGACCTGAGCAGCCACTTCCACTTGGCCCGGTGCTCCCACAGTGCTACGGGTTACAGGGCGGCACAACTCGCCCCAGCAAGCGGGTTACCAGTGTCGACTGGCCATGGCCACCAATCCTCCTCAGACCACTGAAAGTGACAGCAAGAGGAATAGAAAACCCGGTACCTACGCGGTGCCGCTCAGGCATGAAACCTAGTGAGCTGGCCGACAGGACAGGTGAGGGTGCGCAGGAAAAGTCAATATGCTACTGTCGTGGGAATCCGAACAAGTTGGAACAGGCAACAATGGTGCTGTGTTCGTGCTTGGAAAGCATGAACCTGGCCGTATTACGGGCCACATTTGTGGTCTCCAAGCATGAGCATAGCACTGGTGGGCCTGCCCCTAGCTTCTGTGGTGAGCCGATTAAAGTATGTCTCCGTGAGCCTTTTGCAAGGAACCGCCCGAGGAGGAACTCAATTCATGACCGACATGAACTCCCGACCAGTGTGCAAGAGTAGACCGAACAGGGAAAAAAAAACGAAACAAAAACGAGATCACAATCGATACAAGAACACACACATTACACACTTCAGTCCCTTGATTATTATGAAAGCCCTCTTCTCGTATCCATCAAACCAATACAACAACAGAGTAGTAGTTCCCGGCTCAAATAAGACTGACCCTATGCTACTGCCTAGCCTAGCCTTGCCTTATCTAATCTCAACGACCATGCCTAGATGCCTAGCCTTGCCTAGCCTTATCTAATCTCACTTAAGTCCCTTGATTATGAACATTTCCTGCAATCCGGATCTGATCTGAATCCGGCCGGAGTTGCCGGATCCGGAACCCGGGCTGCTGTTCTTGTAAGGGACGCCGGGCCCGCTTCCCGGTTTTATATAATAATAAAGCATCCTTCAAAAAAAAAAAAAAAAAAAAAAAAAAA